TATATTTGACTCTGCTGAAAGCACTTGGAAAAGGCTCAATCACCCTCCTCTTCTGCAAGAAGAGTCTAACCAAAGTTGCATGCCAGTTGCAACCTCTGGTGGCTTGATTTGCTACAGTAATTTATCTGGAAACTTCATTGTTTCCAATCTTGTGACAGGATCCTGTAGAGAACTCCCTCCACTGAATTTTGCCTCACAGCACCAACCTCTCAATGCCATAGTGATGAGCACAGTTTCCAAAGACCAACTCTCATACAAAATTGTTGTAGTCTTTGGTGAACTTCCAAATCTTTTGTTTAATGTCTACAATTCTAGCTCTGGCTGTTGGGAAGATGTGGCTACAATGAAGAGAAACATCGATGACGACGATTCAGTGGAAAATGATTCAACTGATGACAATGTTGTATACTTCCTCAGCAAGGCTGGAACTGTGGTTGTAAGCAACATGCAAAGAAGTCCATCTAAGCAATATTCATCAGTTATTACTACTAACAAAGATGGTGAAGAACTCATCTATTTTCTCAGCTCCTCAGGTAAAGTGATAACTTGCAATTTGACATCCAAGTGCTTCTTAGAATATCCTAGGTTGTTGCCTGTTCTGAGTGAATATTCCATTGATATTGTGGAGTGCAATGGCGAGATGTTAGTTGTTTTGTTATCAGAATTTTTGGAAACTGCGAGTTTAAGAGTGTGGAAATATGATGAGGCTAACAGAGGGTGGCACCAGATTGCTGCAATGCCACCAGCAATGTCTCATGAGTGGCATGGAAAGAAGGCAGATATTAACTGTGTTGGTGCTGGCAAGCAGATATTCATATGCTTGAACTCCCCTGAGCTATGTACTTATGTTCTGTGTGATTTGGTTACCAACAAGTGGTTCCAATTGCCAAACTGTTGCATAAATGGCCAAGTCATGGACTTTATGTCTGCATTTTCATTTCAGCCAAGGATAGAGGCTTCTGTATGACAGCAAAATGGCCAGGCCTGGTATCTTGGCTGTTATCTTAGCAGCTATTTGTACTTTATTTTTCTGTTATCTTAAGTCAATTTTTTCGCACCGAAATTGATTATTTCCTTACCCAAAAGGTAAGAGTATAACCTTGAAAGTAACAAAAAAAACTCAAAATTTCTTTTCATTTGTAATTGTGCTTGAATTGGTTAATTACTAACTGAGATATTGTAATTTTCTTCATTGATTGTTAGATTTACATTGTTTTCTGGGAGTGTTATTATCAATGAATGACCTTGTTGGTGATTCTTTTCCCTTGGGCATTTATTTATATTTTTGGTTTTTCCTCTGATTTATTGGGTAAAGTCAAGGTTATCAAACTCTAGAATATCAGTTTACATCTCTCAACAATATCATATAAGTAATCAAACATGAGTGGAAAAAAAACAATTTAATACTTACCACCGAGAGTTGTTATACATTTAGTTTTGCTCTTAAGTTAAGAAAATCAAACAAAATAATAAAAAGTATAAAATTAGAATCATAAATAAATTGTAATCTGGTTAGTAAATTACTTGTGCTAAGGGGGGATTGCGTAGGAAAGAGGGTATATATAACTTTTGGAATAAAAGTACAATAAAAGTAAAAAACACATGTGTGACTTGCTCAGAAATCAACTGAAAAAGAAGAGAAGGGAAACCGAGGAATGGGCAAAAGAGAGAAATATTGATTGTATGTCACGTACCTTGTGACATAAAGGACAAAATTATAATGTAACTCTATAGGATTTGAATCAGAGTAAACCAAAAAGGCAAGGATAGCAAATTAAATTTTACAATCCACTTTAACTTCAACATATGTTCCTGACAGTATCTATATTGGTGTAAGCTCAGCTCAACAATGAATATTTCTTAGAAAGTGATAAAGAAATTGAATGTCACATATAACACAATGCAAAGCATCCTTTTTGCTTGGTGCTAAAGTCAAATATACAACAAAGATGTTAACAGTGCAATCCTTGAGCAATTCTCATGAAAGATGTTACATTTCACTAGTGTCCATGTGACTAATAAGGGTGTTACTAAAGTAGCACTATTGTCATTTAAAATGATCTTATATAAAGTTATGTGATGGAGAAAGAGGGTATAGGAATAGAAAAGTGGGTTCAGCCCCTTTATCACTTATTACATTGTATATGATGAATAGTCTAAATTACATTTTTACTATTGATTTTAAAATGAAGTTATTTAATTTTAAAGTATTAATATATTATGAAATGTGATGATTCTGACATGATTGATTGAGATTGAAGCGTGTAATAAATTGAATCATTTTCAAGTGTTAGAAACTTGTTATACTGTTCTGCCTCTATTCCCTTTATTATGAAATAACGTCACCTTGCATGGAAGGCCCAAGTTGGTTGGTTGGTGGCAGATGAAAACATAAACAAACATAGCTGGTCCATGCTCACTTATAACTGAAAGTGACTTAACAATATTGAGGGATGAAAGTGGGTGCCTCAATCTGAATGTGATTCGTCAAAAGCTTTTATCTGTAACTGCTGCTCTGGGATTGCCTCAACTTGCCTGCTGCTCTGGGATTGCCTCAACTTGCCTGTTTTCTTCGAACCAGGTTCCTCTGTTCCCAAAATTTCCTGTCTCTATGTACTAGGGGTGAGCGTGGATCGGGTTAAAGCTTGTCCTTACCCGACCCTAAATGTTATACGGACCATTTACTCGACCATAGACCCGAAGTTAACCTGACCCTAAATATTCACAGGGTCAGCCTTTAAACCCAGACCCAATTAAATATAACGTATATTCATTCTACAAGTCTTCTAAATATTATTTATTATTGTGAATATGTAATTTGACATATAAAATAATATATGTGTATATATTATTAAACATATATATATATATGATGAAAAATTAGAGAATCAATGATATTTTCGACCAAAAAAGTATCATTACTCTGTATATATTTGAATAGAGACACATACAAACATCATGAGAAAGTGAAAATGGGACAAGTGGGATGGGTTCTGTTTGGTCCCTACCAGACCCTAAATATTGTTTGAGTCTAATTTTTAAACATGAACCCGAACCTAGACCCGACGAGACCCGACCATTTTTAGGCTCGATCACGATCGGGCCATACCGGGTGAACGGGTAGGGCCGGGTCCCGCTCACCCCTACTATGTACCAAATCAATCATATTCTAACAAATAACATAAAAATGTTATTTTATGTTTTTTATATTTTTATTTTGAAGTATATGACACCTTACAATTGGTTTGGAACACCATGAGACATGAAACGTGAGACAGCTGATCCCATTCGTTTTCTTCACTTATCCACTGCTACGTTTCTCTTAATAAAAATGATAATCAAGTGATACAAATTTTGGTTGGATTATTGACAAACAAGGGATGAAGGGAATCACAATAGACTATTAAGTATCAGCCTTGTATTATATCCACGAGCTTGAAGCCCAATTAGTATGGGCTAATATTTTGATGTGAAGTTGGTATCGATTTGACAATCAAAGTTTATATACGAAAATAAAAACGTTTATTTTGATAAGAAAATAAGGGTGTTACCCTTGGTTAGAGGGGATTTAAGATTAAAAAAACTAAACTTTAAGTCATGGTTTGTAAACTCAACATGCGTAGTTTAATATCCTAGTCATGGTTTGTAAACTAAACTATAATTCATGAGTTTGTAAAAAAACATTAATATCCTATGTGAGCGAGTAACTATTTTATGCATAAAGTTTTCATGTGAGGGGGTTCTCTTTGTGGCAGACTTCAGAAGTTTCATTATTAGGACAGTAAAACTTCCAGATACACTGTCAGGTGTCTGGACCAATGTACTTATTTTTTGATACAAACTTTATTAACCATTAATCTGAGACGGTGCTGTAGAATCAGTTCGCTTAAATTCTGATGCGGGGTAATACATTTAAAAGACAAAGGCTATAATCATGGCCTTGAGACATATTGTGTGTGCCAAATTGCAGTATGAGTTTAATGTTGATATATGGTTTGTTTTTTACATCTCCAACCATTTAAATCCTATCTGTGATAGTTAATCTAAGGGTTACACAGTCCTAAGGAAATTATGGGACATGATTGGACTAAGTATTTTTTTGGTGCTACCAAATGTATTCCATCATTCTATAGGTAAGTAATTAATCCTCTCTGATGTTAGGCCAACATATTGTTAAATTTTTTTTTTACATTTAGCATGCATTAAAATTAAATTTAAAGTTTATAGTTTGTGACAAGCTGAATAATCTGATGAAAAATGTGAGGGCCCTTCAAAGTCATTCCATAGGTAAAATTATGGAATTGGAAATGTTAGTAGGGAAAGCAGACATTAGTTTAGAAGAGTAGACAAAGATAGAATTGAAGGAGGGTGGGGGAGGGATGGAGAGATTTTGTCTTCATTAAACTATTGGTTTGAAGAGGTCTAAGTTCTATGTTCCCTCGACAGATTCAAATGATGTTGAACGTTTAAACAGAAAATATTTTTTTAGATAAGATTATAACAGTAATGCAGATTCTTCACTCATAGCACTTGGAGGCAAGTGTGAAACACCAATAATAGTGCAATGCCATAAGTACCCTCTTCCCTTGCTTATCCTCTCCCCTGTTACCCCTTCAATTATGTCATAACAATTGTGGGCAATCCTTTCACTTTCACTCCTGTTTTATTATTGTATTCACTTTATTTTGTTAGGAAAAATTACAATCAACTTCTTTGTTAGAATGTTCAATTTGATTATGACAGTAAATAATTTTTACAGCACACCTTGGAAAAATTCATGATTATATAAGTATTGGAAGAACAATTCAAGAATCCAACTTGTTGAATACCTGTTCCTAGATGGAATATGCTCTTCTTGTTTTAGTGTCATGTTACAAGCACAGTCAATACATAAGGGATGTTAAATATAAAGTCATTCATGAACTTTCAGTAATAACTTTAGGAGATACTTTCATCTTAATCACACATATTGCATGGTGAAACCAACACTGAGAAGAATCCATTTAAAGCAGGTAGTAATAAAATGGTAACAAACATAGGTTGCTGCTGTTTGCCAAAACAGAGAAAAGTCCAACATTTATTTTGTAGACTAGAGTCCAAAATATTTTGAAGACCATATGCTATCCCCACCCTACCTATTTATAACGCTCATGAGGCCATCCAAGAGGACCAGAAGTTTGTTCTGATCACTACCTGCTTCTGCAGTGTCTTGTACTTTGTCCCTCAGAATTGTAGTAGAAAGAAAACCTCATATTTCCACCAACCTATCACCTCCTTTCTCAATTCTATATACATCAAAGTTGATCTCCTTCAAAACAAGAAGAAAAGGGAGAAATGTTATTAGATAATCTCAGTAGTACCTAAGCTTGAAGAAGACCATAGCCTAGTGAAACAAGTTACCACATCTAAAACAAAAGACACCATGTACCCAAAAGTCCATGGTGATGTCCTTAAGGGACATCAATCTACACAACATCAAAAACAACATAAAAAACAAGTTAGGAGGAGGCTTCACACTAGTAGGCCTTATCAAGAAAGGCTTCTGAATATGGCAGAAGCTAGGAGGGAAATTGTGACTGCCTTGAAATATCATAGGGCATCTATGAAACAAGCCAGTGAACAGAAGCAACAACAACAAGCCCAGGAAGAGCATCAAATGGAATCAGTATTCCTCCAATCTTCTCAACAACCAAGTTTTGAGCAAGATGGAAGATACAAGTCTAGGAGAAATCCTAGAATTTACCCTTCATGCACACAGAATTTTCCAAATTACATGGATGGTTTTTCACATTCGTACTCACCTCATTCTCCTCCCTCAATTCCAAATTCTAACACCTATACTTCTGATTCCCCACATGCTCCACCACCCCTTAAAGCTGATAACCACAATTTCATACTTCCAAATAAGACTTTGGGTTTGAACCTCAATTTTCATAATTTCAACAAATTAGATGCTACAACTCACCTCAATAACTCATCATTATCCTCAACCTCATCTTCTCCTCCACTTTTTGTTGTGACTGATCATGATGTTCCTTCAGCACAGGGAGAGGTAAAGGGGTCTTCTTCACTGGTGAGTTCTATTCAATCATGTGCCACAACCCATGTTTCTGGAGGATTACACACAGCCATGGATGATGAGGGTATGGCTGAGATCAGATCATTAGGAGAGCAATATCAAATAGAGTGGAATGACACTATGAATTTTGTCAAATCAGCTTGTTGGTTCAAATTCTTGAAAAAAATGGAACATGGAGCACCTCAAACCAAGACTGAAGGTGATGCTGCACACTATAGTTTTGAAGAACTTGTGGAGTTTCCTGCTTGGTTCGATGCAAATGAGAGCTTCTTAGAGCATTGCTCTGAGAATTATTTCCAAGATTCTACTTCACCTTTGTAAGTTCAACATAAGTCTCATTTTTTCTTAAAAATGATTTTTTTAAAGTGGTTTTTTGTTTGTACTTGTTATTATGTTAAGGGTAAGGGACAGGAAAGTTGGGAGTTTTTTTATAGTCTTGTCACATAGGGAGGGAAGTTTAGTTAGGTATGTGTTTGGATCAGATTCACAAATAATCAGATTATCAGATACTGAAATAATCTTAATGTCCAATTTTACAGCTCCGCTGTTTCAGTGTTTTTGAAGGAAGAAAACAGCTTTTAGATGTCTCATTTCCCCTTCCAAACATGCATTCCCCGACTCTCAACAACATGATACAAATGCTATAAGATTTCAACAAATAATTTGAAATAAACACCATGGCTCTTATCTTTTTGCATCTTTGAAGATATAGAACTGATTTTTCAATTCTCCTGGGACAATTTTATATGTATCTTTATGTCTTTCTTCTTTTGGGTAAGTGTCCTAATGATACTTAGATTGTGATGTAAATTAGCCTGCTTAAGCAGAAACCGCAGATTATGCTCAACCACAGTATAATTGAATAATAAGTGATTTCCCTGGCTGGTTTCAAGTATCTCCTGTTAAAGTTGGTTTTGGAGCATAAGCCAATAGCCAAAAGTTGTCCTAGTTTTTCCAATCTCCATTCTTTTTTAGTATGAATATGTATTTCTTATTTGTGTTCATTCCACTCCAAAATTTAATCGCAGGCACGCACACCCTTAATATCAATTTAGTATATGTAAAACAATTCTCAAAAATATTATAGGAGAAAGGTAGGAATTTTTTAGAGATTTCTTAATAAATTGTGATTTATAGTAAACTTTTATGATGTTGTTTAATTCATATAATCGACCATGAGATTAAAGTTTAATTGTTTATGTAATTTTCGTAGACTAAAACCTTTGTTTTCTGATTTTTGCTTTGTCCAGTTGAAAAATCTAATTCTTCTCTATGTAAATTGCGGCTGATTTAGTTTTGGCTTTGGACTTTTTAAGGGTGTAGACACTTCATATGCTAATCGTCCTTTTATTTTATTTTATTTTTCTATACAGCATTGACATTGGAGATTTTGGAAGCATGTTTGAGGATTGGTTATCATGACAAGGATTAATTATTTTAGTTACATCAAATATTTAGCTGCTCTCGTATTATATTTTTGTTCAGTTACAAGGGTTTAGGGCACTATTTTATTATAATCCCTCTCCCTCTCTCCTTTTTTGGAAAATAAATAAGGCTTGCATAATGTCTGAAATAACATTTTTGCTCAATTTCCACAATATTTGTTGCATTTCACTGTCGATCATTTAAATTGCTAATAAAAGTTATGTATTAAAAAAATTGCCGATGTGAAAAAAGGAGAAAAGACAAGGATGGATGTGGTTGTTCTCTTTGGTCAGGATTATGTGATCATTTGTGGTTAGTTAATAATAATTTGACATACAACAGAATATAATTAAAAAGAAAGAGATCAAATGAAGTATGTATATCTGAACCTACACGACATGAGAAACGAATCTTCTGAAGTTCTTTTTTAATGATCAGATTAATAAAATAGAATAAAAGAATAGTTGAGAGAGGCGGTCGAGAGCCAAAACTCAAGTAGAACACTAGAGAGGATTAATCATCTTGTTGTCTGAAATAAAATAACTTGTGAGTTTTATACATTGTATTATTTGTTGATTTATTATTTTAAATTAATTGCTGTTATAACTTATAACATCGTCATCATAAATTATAAACATTATCACAATCAATCAAACACTAAATTAGTGTTGCTTATATCTAAAGGAAATACTTTTGTACTTAAACTTCCTTCTTGAAAATGAAATAGACTTGTTCTGAAAAAATGTTTTCCTTATATACGCATTATTTGAATTAACACTCTGTAAATTATTTTCGAGTACAAAATCTTGAGCTAGTTAAGTTGACATTTTTTGACAATTTGGTCTGTTATTCGGCATGCATCAATATTTCTGAAGATTTGTTTTTAATGTGAAATAATGAATTGGTTTGAACATTGGATTTATTTTCAGAGTAAATTATTTAAGAATGTGTCTGTTCTTTGTTTACAATTATAATTAATTGATTTGTTAGCTTTGTCAATTATAATTATTTAATTATACAAACTTTCTTGTCTTAAGGTTATGAATAAGAAATTAATTTGCAGGATTGTCTCTTCCAATTAATTTTGTTTTACTGAATCAAATCTTTGACATTTTAACCATCATACGACTCATTAAATGTATAAAAATATCACTTAGTAAGATTTAAAGAGATAAATATATGTAGTATTATTTTGCAAGCGGAACTATTATTTCCAAAATTTTATAAAGTAAATCAATAAATCTCATGCACTCAATCTCAAGTTAATTATATTTTTAGCTTATTCTCCAACAAATCTCTATATTCCAAACTAATTTTGAAGAATTTATTTATCCATTAATTAAGAAAGTATGATATATTATATATATTATGTTATTTTCAGTGATATGTCAAACTATGATTAGATGTCTACAAATGTGATATGTTTGAATTGTCTTTAACCAAGTTTATCTTGTAAAGGTAAATAAGATGCCCAAACACACTTATGCATATATCAAGCTTTCATATATATATATATATATATATATATATATATATATATATATATATGTTATGCACATATTGTAGGTTTTTCTGGCAATAAAAGGAAGTTATGAGAGGAATGAAGATCATTCGGTGGCTAAGTATATTATAATCAAATTAAAAACTATCAATAAAAATAAAAAATAAAAATACTTTTTATATATTATATAGTATATTATAATTGACTTGAGAGATGAAAATAGAAAAGACATGACGTCATTGTTAAGAAGCAAAATTTATTCAAACTTGTTATGGACCATGACGTTGATAGTTTTGTCTACATATTCCTCTTCCTGTAGCTCATGGTGACACATATCATGGGTTCTCAAAACAACATCCACCGTATTTAGTTTACTAACAACATTGATTGCACCATGATTTTTAAGAATCCAAAACATGTAATATGATTATTTTTAATAAAATAATTATTCTCATTGATATCTGCAATTCAGCTGAAAATGCTTTATAATAAAAAACTCGAGGATTATTAATTTGTGTTCGGCTGTTAACTTTTCACCATCTATAGTAAAATTTTGAAAATATATAAAAATGCCATACTTAAATTATTATAATTGTTACTTTTTCATTGTAAATGGAAATCGTGTTTGAGAAACAGAAGCTACTTAAAATTGGAAGAGTTTTTTTTGAAAGATAATTCGCAACTTCAGTTCACAAGTTTTGAAAAAAAAATCATGACTGCTATCCCCAATTTCCCCAACTTCAGTTCACAAGTTTTGATACTGCAATGCTTCCCTTTTGTGTCCAATAGCAAAGATTTTAATATATCTAAACTAGCAATTTGGGTCTTCTTATAATTCATAATTTATACTTGACAGTTGACCAATAAATAGGTGGTTGAGATGGCATTTATACACGTGTATAGTGAAACCACCTAACTTAAATAATTATATTTTTTTCTTTCTATGTTTACCATTTAAAAATATTCCAATCTGTTTCAAAATTAATCTAGGCAGTTGAGGCAGGGCTCTAAAGTAGACATTACTGAAGAGCATAACTATTAGGTAAAGTTTGAGAACATGGTATTCCACATCACTCCACTTCATTTCGCCAATTTTGACATTCCTTATAAATTTAATTTATTATTTAACTTATTAAACTTGTTTCATAAATCAAATGAATTGAACTTAAATTAAAAATAAATCTTGTTAAATAAACGAATTAAACTCTAGTCAAATACAATTTGATTCGATAGATATATTTTTGTAAATAGAATATGATAGATAAGATGACTAAATGAAAAATATTTTAATTCCAAATGGGGTGAAATCATGTTTCACTCTGTTATGTGAATGCAGCATGCATACCTAAAAGATAAGGAGTGCAAATTATAACATGCGAAGAGTCATATAGCATTGGCTATAAGTAATAATCCATTAACTTTTTGATATCAAACTTTAAATAAAGAAACAGAGAAACTAAGCACACACACACTGTATGCCTTTAAGTAAAAGTATCCAATTTCAAGCCAGGAAATTAATTAAAAACAGATATAAAATCTAAAGAGCAATTAACTAAGTAGTACCATTATTGATCACAATCTTGAAACATAGCTCTGTTGTATCTGACAGATTAATAATAGTGCTTGATGATGAACCCTTTTTATCAAGTGAAAGACACAGGGTATGTGTTGATGCAGTCAAGCCAAGGGTTGTTCCTAGAACCCTTGTTGGCTCTACGCATGGCACGCCAAACAACACTGTTACACTTGAATCCAGAACCAAAAGCCAGTTGCCATATACGGTCACCTTTTTTCACTCTTTCCTTAGCTTCCAAGTAAGCAAGCTCATACCAAATGCTACTGCTAGAAGTGTTTCCAAAACGGTGCAATGTCATTCTAGAAGCCTCTATGTTCCTGTCACTCAACTCCAAGTTCCTTTGAAGCTCATCAAGAATTGGCTTGCTTGCAGCATGCACACAAAAGTGCTCAAAAGCTAGTTTATAGTCAGGGATGTATGGCTTTTTTGATGATGCTAAATTGTTTCCATCAGATTTTTTGTTACCACCAAATAAGTGTC